ATCATTCCATGAATTTTTACGTCAACAATTTGACGAAAAAGGGCGGCAACCGAAGTGAAAACTCCGACATATATAACAATTACCCCCCTCACCATGACCTCAATATGGAGTCAAAAACTGCAAATGGCCCCTAAGTGACGTTCTTGTCTTCATCGGGCTACCTCCGCCGGCCGCAGCGACACGCATGACTCGAACCGCCCGGCCCTGGCCAGACTCTGAGTCGCGTGTCAGAAGCCCGAGCGGCATCCCTCCCCCTACCACGACGTGCCGGTGCTCCCTGGTGCCGCCGGGCTGGTCCAGGTGTGCTCCATGTCCTGGCGGGGGGAGGGTGGGGCGGGGCGGTCGAGGACTCCCTATCTTGGCCGGAGCGGTTCAGCGTGTCTTCGGCGCAGTCTCGGGCTCCCATTGTCCCGAGCGGTCCGGCGGGCTTAGGCGATGCCCCAGGACGTTCACAGCGTGCCCGCGCCCTCGACGTCGTCAACATGAGGATCCTCTGCGCGCTGCTGGCGCTCGCCCTCCTGTGCCGCGCGCAGGAGACGCCGCTGTACACGGAGGCGGTGTGGAACACGTTCGTGCAGCTGGTGCGCGACGGGCCCCAGGAGCCCGCCGACCGCCAACTGGACTCGCTGCTGCCCGAGTACGACTTCATCGTGGTGGGCGCGGGCACGGCGGGCTGCGCGCTCGCTGCGCGCCTCAGCGAGGTGGCCGGCTGGAGCGTGCTGCTCGTCGAGGCCGGCCGCACCGAGATCTTCGCCATGGACATCCCCATCACCGCCAACCTGCTGCAGTTCAGCGAGGCCAACTGGAAGTACCGCACCCAGCCCTCGAAGAAGGCTTGCCTCGGCATGAAGGACAAGCGCTGCAACTGGCCGCGCGGCAAGGTAAGTCGACGGGGTAGGGCCCCCTGGCCGGGTAGGCAACCACGCCTCGCCCGCGGCGTCCGAGTCGCGCGGGTCTGCCTAGCCTGGGCCCGCAGGGGCTCCCGGGCCCCAGGCAGTTCCCATGGCGCGCCGCGACACGCTAAGGTCTCTCCGCCGCCATAAACCATGAGACGAGACGCGGAGGCTGCATCCTCTGCCGCAGCCGGCATTGCGACAAACGTGGGAATATATAGGCAAGTGACTTCATCAAACGCGCGCGGGAACTTTTTTTTTGCGGATGCATCCGAAAGCGACGAGTGTGAGGAATGGGGGAGCTACGGCCCGAATAGAGCATCTCTATCGTACCCGACGCTTTCGGACGCGTCCACCGTACATCCCATACCGGGTCCACTCGGTTCTCCGATTGAGAACTCTGGCGGGCGGGTCAAGGCGCTTTGACCAAAGAGCAGCAGCCGAGACGGCGGCGGCTACAGGCAAGCGTGAGGCAGGTCTGGGCTCTGGGCTGGACCGGTGCACCCCCCCCCCCTCTCCCTCCCAACCCCGCGCGCAACCGGCAGAGGAGAAGGCTGGAGAAGGACTCTGAGTCGAGTGGGTAAGGTTGTGGGACTGGGGCAGAGATAATTTTGCAATAGACTCGACATCCCAGGAGGGATTTGTCCTCGAGCCATCTGCTTCATCTGGGGGTCAGCTCTCTCTGTCAGCCGGTTGCCACTTCTCCCCACGTGACCCCGATAATCTTTTGGATGGCGCTGTCCCCGCAGGTCATGGGCGGCTCCAGCGTACTCAACTACATGCTGTGGACCCGGGGCCACCGGATGGACTACGACAACTGGGAGAAGCTGGGCAACCCGGGATGGGGCTTTAAAGACGTTCTGCCCTACTTCAAGAAACTCGAAAACATGCAGGTAAGGAAGACACGGCAATTTTCCCCTGTTTCACTCTCCCCCCCCCCCTCTCACCTCCCCAAATCCACAAGTTGTGCACTCCTTTGCCATCAACAAGGCGTCTGTGTTCTGCGACAGGTGAAGGAGATGGCGGCGGACAAGAAGTGGCACGGCACGGACGGCCCAGTCATGATCAGCCACATCCCCTTCCGCACGCCCATCGCCGAGGCCTTCCTCGAGGCCGGGAAGCAGCTGGGCCACCCCGTCGTGGACTACAACGCGGAGAACATGACCGGTTACGCGCACTTCCAGGTAAGTGTCGGACGGAGCGTCACGGGCATTCTGTGCGCACCCGACGACACTACAGCAACGCCCTCCCCCACCGCGCAGGTCACCATGCTCAAGGGGTCGCGCTGGAGCTCCAACCGCGCCTACCTGCGGCCCATCAAGGACAGCAGGCCCACGCTGCACGTCGCCAAGGAGACGCTGGCCACCCGCGTCGTCGTGGACCCCGTGACCCGGGAGGCCGTGGGCGTGGAGCTGCTGCGCCGACCGAGCGGCCTCGGGTCGGCGCTGAGGACGTCGACGCGGAGGATGATCCGGGCCAGGAGGGAGGTGATCGTGTCGGCGGGGGCCATAAACTCGCCGCAGCTGCTGATGCTGTCCGGCATCGGCCCCCGGGAGCACTTGCAGGTATGTACGGGCCAAGGAGATGGTTTCAGCTAACACAGGCGCGCGCGCGCGCGTGTGTGTGTGTGTGTGTGTAAAGGGGGGGGGCTAGATAGCCTCCTGACCGATAGGCAATTTGTGCTACAAAATCCCTGTAACTTTCTCCCCCCTCTCTCGACCCACGAGAAACGTTTATGTCTTGACCCGTTCTTCTCCCTCAGTTGGCTGAACCCCATTGCCACACTGTAACGACTGTACCGTCGAAGTTTTCGACTTTGGCTTCGTTTCTGCGTAAAACATGAAAATGGGTTTCCTGTCCCGCCTCACTTTCACCGAGGGTGGGACAGCTCAGCGACAGCTCGAAAAAGGGGGAGAGGGGCCCGGAGGGCTGGAGGGGCGCTCAAGGTCGATTGAACTTAGCGGCAGACGTGTTTGCTGCAATCGACGATGTGGAGAAGAAAGAGGTGGGGAGGGGAGAGCAAGTCTGCAAGTGGCAGCAGGTGGTGGCAGCTGAACAGGGTAAGGACCCACATTCCGTCTCGTTTGCTTGCCTCATTTTCACGTCCCCCCCCCCCCCCCAGGCCTTGAGCACCTTGAGGACTTTTGCACGACCGACAAAGTGCCAATCTCCTCAAAGTAGCGGTTTTATAGTTTGTTTGTTTATTTATTTTAAGTACTTCCCTGGTGAGGATTAAGACAAGTCGGGGACATCACTTCTTGTCGTTCTTTGTCCTCGGGCGTCCCACTTCTTTCCCAAAGTGTCCTTGACCGTACCACAATATCCCCATGTCGTCCTGACGCGTCCTCAGTCCTCCAACGTCCTTAATGACACCTTCACGACGCCACCCTGCGCTGTCCCGACCCGTCCCTGCGCCTTCGACGTCGTTTCTCGTCCCCACCGACGCTGCCCTGCGCTGTCCCCATCCGTCCCTGCGCCTTCGACGTCGTTTCTCGTCC